AGAGTCACATTCCCTCCCCTTAAGAGAAGATAGTCTCTCCTCTTCCCTCTTGACAGTACCCCAGTGGGATATCAGGGGCTGCTGGGCCCACTCTTTTGACCTGGAGAATTAGCCTTCCTATCTGCCCCCCCACCCCATTCCAATTGATTTTTTGCCTTAAGGAGAACTTTGAGTCAGGAAAGGGACTGGAAAGAAGGTTCTTGGATAGTTCCCCACCCCAGGATCTCAATGAAGGAGTCCCTGTAAGCTGGTATCTCCCTCATACCACTGGAGAATTGAACTTGTGATTCAAGGTGACAACCTCTTCCCTCCAATTGTCAGAGCAGGAAGAGTAAGGCTGCTGTGACCACCTGGAGTGGAGGTGGAAGATTAAGGAACTGGGAGGTGTCAGGAGTGAAGATTGGGATTGGGAGTGATGCTTTTTAAATATTCCTGGGACTACCAAATTCATTCCTAAAGCTGCTCTGTGGGAAAGGGAAGTGTGACCATAGCCAGGTGAGCCAGGAAGGGAAATCCCTCTGGGCTTCCTGAGGGAGGAGGTTTCCATTTGCCCATTGGCATCTGTGTTCTGGACAGAGTGTGGCTTTCTACATTTTTGCTTTTTGTCTCTGTCTCTTTTTAAAATAACAAAAAAAGTTGTCTTCAATACCATCACTATCTCTTCCCACTTCCTACCTACCCTCCGCCCCACTCCCACACACATACCTACACACACCTTCAACCTAGCCATGCTCTCTGACTGACTCCTTGGGCTGTTCTGGGAGGGGGCTGAGAGAGAAGTAAAGATGGCCCCTAGCCCTCATCCTTCCCATCTCTTCATTGCTTGAGAGAGAGAGAGAGAGAGAGAGAAAGGGGGGCGGGAGAGAGAGAGAGAGAGAGAGGGAGAGAGAGAGAGAACGGGCCCTGCCCCCTGGGTCATGTACATATCCATCCTTGGCCCCTCTGAAAAGATCAGGGGGAGCTCAGTATTCATCTTTCCTCATGGAGGGGCTTGGAAGGTCACCCCTGTGGCTGAGCAGAGAACTAGCTGCCCCCCAGCCTCAGCTGCTCCTTCTGGACTGCCGGAGCAGGGAACTCTATGAGTCAGGCCACGTCCAGGGGGCTCTTAGCGTAGCCCTCCCAGCCCTGCTGCTGCGGAGGCTGAGGAAGGGGAACTTGTCTGTGTGCTCGCTACTCCCCAGTCCGCTGCTGCAGCAGCAGCGGCAGCCGCTGCCCCCTCTGCCCATCCTCCTCTATGATGAAGGCCGGTGTGTTAAGGAGGAGGAAGCTGAGGCAGCCCAGTCAGTACTAACCACCTTGCTCCAGAAGCTGCAAGAAGAAGGCCACCCTGCCTACTACCTACAAGGTAGGTGCCTGGACTGGAGCAGGCAGCTCCTGAGAGACTGGGGCAGCCCCTGGGGGTGGGGGTGGGGTCAGTGGTGCCTCAGGGAGCAGGAGTCTTTGGTGGAATGAGCCCTGGCCTGTGAGGGAGTGCCAAGGTAAAGCTTTGAACCCCAGTGACATCACTCATTGACTCAGTGAGCAAGACCCAATTTCCTCCCTTGGAAGAGAAGAGAACAGACCCCCTGCCCTGGCCCTGCCTGCCTTACAGGGTCACAGAGCAAACTCACGGGCAAACCTTGCTCCGGCTCCTAGGCCAAGGCTCTTTCTACCCCATCCAGCTTGCCAGATCTTATCTCCCTAATTATGTTTTTTCAGGGCTGTACCCTGCTTGGGCCTGCTCTACCCAGACTTGCCCCTCCCAGCCATGGCCTAGGGGGAGGTTTTCCATGAGAAATTGAAATCAGCTGTCCTCTGCTTAAATCTGATTTTTAAAAAATCAAATTATAGTTTAAATGCAAAAGAGTAGCTGGCAACTTCAAGGAATACTGGTATAGTAAAGAATCCTTGTACAAATCGAGTCATCGCTCCCTAATTTTTGGATTTGGAGATCTGGATTTTCATATACTGTTGGTCTATGGTGGGTGAGGAAGGAGTAAGGTGTTCCAACCGATTGGATAGTCTGATTTTCCTCCACATGGTATATCTTGGGGTGGGAAATATCTGGCCTACCAATCAGATCACAGAGCTGGAAGAGACCTTAGAAGTTGCGGAGTCCAACCCCTTCATTTTGCAGATGAAAACATTGAGGAACAGAGAGGTTAAATGATTTGCCCCTATTCACCCAACTAGTAAGCATCTACCATCAGATTCGAACTCTGTTCTTCCTGACTCAAGCCCAGTGCCCCATCCACTATGCCACATATGTCATTTCATCTGATTCATGAGGTCATCACCAAAAGGTGATATACCTGCTAGCAATGGTGCAGAGGCAAGGATACACAACTGGAGCCAAGCGGCAGAGATAAGCTCTAGCAACTTTGCACACAGTTGGCTTAGAGAGTGTTGAGGAAGAGTCAGCCCTGACTAATAATGTGGGGATACAGACATCAAGTCGGCTAGTCTTGAGTGATATTTTCCGGGCAGCATATGGAAAGGTAATATACAGGGACAATATAGGGACAGCAGCTTAGTTGCATGGTCTAATGTTCCTTCAAGCTGCTCTCCATTCTGAGTGACTGTAGCTGCTGGGAGGAGCAATGAGGAGCTTGGGTGGTATGTCTGTCTTCCTGAAGAAGTTGGGTTCTGGGCTACTCTAGTGCATCAAACTGGGTCTGAACAATGGTGAAGTACATCACAGAGCCAGCCTAGAGCAACTAAGTTCAGTCTCCTCTCCCTAGAGAAATGTTGCTTGATAACAGGAGATTTTATATGCATGTGTATAGATAGATAGATAGATAGATAGACAGATGATAGATAGAGAGATAGATATATGGATACACTATATAGACAACTACGTGGCACAGTAGATAGAGTCAGGAAGACCTGAGTTCAAATTTGACCTCAAACACTAGCTGTGTAACTCTCAGCAACTCACTTCACCCTGTTTGCCTCAGTTTCCTCATCTGTAAAATGAGCTGGAGAAGGAAGTAGCAAACCACTCCAGTATCTTTGCTAAGAGAACCCCAAATGGGGTCATGGAGAGTTGGACACAACTGAACAATGACAACAAATATATGTGGGTGTGTGTATATAAACTTGACAATGGGCATTATGTATATATAATTGGTAACAGACATTATATATATATGTATATACATACATATATGTAGCTAATGGAGTCAGACATGACTGAAAAATGACTAAACAATGATATATACCTGTATGCATTCCTAGAGTTGTGAAAATGCAACATTTCTTTAGAATTCTTTAATAGTAATATTCTAGAGGGCCACAAGGTGATAATACACCTCCCCCCACCCGCGTGGAACTTTTTCTCTGTAAAATAAGATGCTCTCCATTTTTCTTTCCTTTTTCTTTTTCTTTGCTTTTTGGTGAAGCAATCAGGGTTAAGTGACTTGCCCAGGGTCACATAGCTAGTAAGTGTCAAGTGTCTGAGACGGATTTGAACTCAGGTCCTCCTGACTCCAAGGCCGGAGCTCTATTCACTGCGCCACCTAGCGGCCCCTCTCCATTTTTCTAAAAAGAAACTTAAAAGATTTTCCCCTCTTGAAAGTCCAAGAAATAGAAAATTTTAGGAACTTTTTTGTTCTAAACTTTAGGTAGATATTAAAATGGTTAATGGTGTTCTAGTGGTATTTACTAAGGTTTTCAATCTCAGAAGCTGAATTCCACCACCTCCACCCCCAAAAAGAGCATTCTTAGTATGTATTAATATTATTATAGCTTTGCATCTCTATCTCTTTTCCACCATCTCTTTTCCTTAACTGGCACTAAAATTCATTGTGGTTATTGCTTGTTGTATCTGTTCAATTAACATCATTTGAGTATGTGATGTGTGCAGAACTCTGTGCCCAGGGCTGGGGGAAGTTACAAATATTAGATAAGAGGTCACTGACCTAAGGGAACTTACAGTCTAGTGATGGGATATGCCACATATACAGATACCTCGACTATACAATTATGCATAAGTGAATAAGAGAGGTACTAGCACAAAGTGCTGTGTAGGATTTGGGGATAGGGGTATGTTCCAGAGGACATTTCTGACTAGGAGGAATTCATTAAATGCTTGCTATATGCAAGGTTCTGGAGATCCAAAGCAAGAAGAAACAGTCCCTTTCATGGGCATTTGAATTGGGCCATAGGACAAGTTTGAATTGAACAGAGGATGAGAGGAGTGGAGGACATTTCAAACATAGGACAGTGCGGAGGAAAGATACTGAGGTGAGAAAGCGCAGGGTATGTTGGGGGAGGGGCAGGATATCAGATTTGTCTTGAACTTAGGCTATCAAAGTAGAGTCAGAAAAAGGGGGCAAAGATATAGTGAGACTAATTGTAGAAAACTTTGAATGCCAGGTTAAGGAGTTTGGATTTTATATAGTAGGGAATTTGTTGTCGTTCAGTTGTTTTCAGTTGTGTCTGACTCTCCGTGACCCCATTTGGGGTTTTCTTGGCAAAGATATTGGAATGGTTTGCTATTTCCTTCTCCAGCTCATTTTACAGATGAGGAAACTGAGGCAAACAGGGTGAAGTGGCTGCCCAGAGTCACACAGCTAGGAAGTAGCTAAGGCCAGATTTGAACTCAGTAAGATTCCTGACTCCAAGGCCAACACTATCCACTGCAGCGCCACCTAGCTGATATAGTAGGGAATAGGGAATCATTCAAAAGTTTGGGGTTGGATCACAGACTTTGAGCTGGTAGGTAACTTAGAGGTCATTTTATTCAGCCCCCTTATTTTACCAATGGGTAAACTAAGGCCAGGGAGATTAGGTGCCTGTCTCCAGGTCAACCCGGATTTGAACCCAGCCATGGCTCCTTGACATGGCATCAGACTGAGCAGAGGAATGATACAACCAGATTGATACATGCAGAAGAAAGGTCTCTCTCATACATGGCCAGTTTTCAAAAACAGAGGAGTTGGTCAAATATACTAAACACAACTTTACTAGACAGAATGGAATCTTTCTTTGATGACTCAGACCTCGCTTGGCCTCTGGGCCCCTTTTTTAATGTCAGTGATTAGTGTTCAAGATTGTAAAAAAAATATATATATATATATATGTATATATATTTCTGCTTATTTGTACCGTCTATTCGATTGTGGGCATTCAGGATATAGTAAACCAGAGCTTACTGTGTTGGGTTTGGGTCAGGTGGAGGGTACCTGTAATTAGTAACATTGTGAAAATTCCCATTGCTGTAGCATCTCGCGTTAAGACAGAAGAGAAAGAAGGAAGGGCTAATAGCACTGGCTGGATGTAGGATATTCTAGGCATGGGAGTGAAGAGAGCTTTGGACTTGGAATCTAGCATATAAAAATCCTCGTCCCTCCAATGTGGTGCCCAGTACTGAGCCCCAGACTCCAGATGGAATCATCTCAGTGCTGAGGACATATCACTGGACACTGTGGTTCTTAATGAGATCTAAAGACTATCATGTCTCATAGGCTTGGCTCCTGTGAAGTGCTAAAGCCTTTTCCAGTTGAATGGATACCTAGACCCAATGCTCTGATTTTATATTTGTGAAGATGGTTTTAAATTTCATTCTCATGGATTTGACTCACCCTTTGAGCCTGTCAGGATCTTTTCAAAGACTGACTCTGTCATCTAAGGATATCTAAAAATTTGATAAGCATACTGAGCTGGAGGCAGCCAGGTGGCAAGGCAGTTAGGTGATGAAGTAGATAGAGTGCTAGACCTGAGGTCAGGAAGGCCTGAGCTCAAATCTGACTTCAGACCCTTTTTAGCTGTGTGAACCTAAAAAGGAAGGAAATGAGCATTTATTAAGTGCCTACTATGTGCCAGGCACCGTATATTATCTCATTTGGTCTTCACAATACCTTGGAAGGTAAGTGCTATCATTATTCCAATTTTACAGTTGAGGAAACTGAGGGCAGACAAAGGCTAAGCGAATCGGCTGGCATCATACAGTGTCTGAGGCTGGATTTGAACTCAGGTCTTCCTGACGCTAGGCCCAGCACTCTGTCTACCATACTGTCCCTGATCAAGTTACTTAACTTCTGCTTGCCTCAGTTTCCTCATCTGTAAAATGGGGGTAATAATAGCACCTACCTCCCAGGGTTGCTGTGAGGATCAAATGATATAATGGCTGTAAAGTGCTTTGCAGCCTTTAAAGTTCTGTATAAATCCTAATCATTGTCGTAGTTATAGTTGCTGTTGTTGTCATTGTTGCTGTTGGTCTTTCCCCTCCCAGATTGATATTTTGTGGTGGTAAACTAGGCCATCTTTTGTCTCAACTCTTACCTAGCCTTTAGTCATTGAATGGGTGTGGCCTCAGACAAACTGAGACCTAAGAATGGCCTTAATTTAGAAAGGCCAAGGTCA